GGCATTATTTGTTGCCATCATATCCTCCTTGCTTTCAGAGGACCAACTCTTTGCATAGGCCTCCTCCTAGCAGTATCCATAAAATGACTCCCCTCTATCCTTTACATCCCTCTGTGAATAATCATTTGTTTCCCTTTCTGTAGGCTACTCTCTTAAATTTCAATCCATTAAAGAGATCGTGATTTAGCCATGTTGATAGCTATGCTTCCTGTCCTTTCTCTGCCTGAAGATTTGTGCTTGTGCCCCTTGTGGCCATTCAGACACGGAATTAAAAATTAATGTAAAATTAAAATTTATACCTTACAGGTCAAATACTTCTAAGATAAATAACAACAGCTGTCTGGAATTTACTGCCGGTATCACAACTCAACTGACTGATCAAATCTTGATCACACGATTTCCCCTCTAAAAAATACTTTGTACACCAAGAAAAACACTGTGCAGGTGTCCCATCCCATGGAAGTCCAGTCCATTCATCACTGACGTTCTTTCCACCACTGCTATTGGCATCTCTTAAGCAGAGAGAAGCCACATTTGCACTACAAAAGCTGATGACTGGTATGAAACCACTGTCTCCTTTCCACCTTCAGACTGTCTGGGGCATTTGGACTCAGGTGTAAATCACCAGTGAAACAGCCCAATCCACCCAGCCTCTGACAAAAATTAACTTCAGCAAATTACTAAATGCAGGCCTCTTAAGACAACCATGAAACACATTTTTTCCCTCTCCCCAGTCCTTCTTCTGCTCTTTTCAAACAGAAAGAGTCACTCTTGGTGCTGGCAGACGGACTGCATGGAGAAATTCAGGAGACCTCAGTTCTTACCAAGAGACAGCCACTCATACAACTTGCAGCTCCATAGAGATGCATGACCTGACTTGTGCTGCATCTTTGGCACGGCAACCCCGTTTGCCACCCTGGGGCCTCCCCCCAGGAACTTTCCATCACAAGCAATAAAACTCCTGACGCAGCCTGGGAACACACTGTACTCCTTCCTGCAGCTTTGGTCCATAAACAGTTTATTGCCTATTTTGCTTATCTATATAGCCTAGTGATGAGAACTGTGCAAAATCCTTGCCTTAAACTCACATGAAGCCTGTCTTTGAGTGCAGACACTGGGCAAACATTACAAAAAGTACTTAAAGATTTTCCTCCACCTCTGTATATGCCTGTTTACATTTCTAGAATTTAAGTTTCCTGGCAAGGAAAGACAATTTTGAAGTTCTGCAGGTAAACTTGTCAGAAATCAAACTTCATATTTGCAAGGGAATGCTTTCGACTTCTGCAATCATGGAAGTGACACAATGCAATTATACGGTCTCTCCAAATTATCTGATCAAGTGCAAGAAGGCTACAGCTTGAATAGCAAATACCAACTTTGCTTGCCAAAATGAGGCACTATCGAAGAACTAATACCTTCAGAGAAATCACACTGCTTATGCACATGGTCCCCACAAGCAGAAAAGCATCTGAATTCACTAGCTGCGTAGTAACCGCTGTACAGTTTAGCACAGCTCTACAAGGCAAAGAGCCGGGTGATTCGCGGTTCAGTCCCGATAACAACTCATGCTAAAAAAGGTTCAGTGAATACTGGGCAAAGTTGTTTACAAGACTGGAAATCTCTCACTTTTCTTCTTTACAGGCAGTCTTCCTCAGCATATAGAGAGAACTAAGATCTTTAGGTGATTTCTTCGTAAGGAGGATGACTTTATGTAGGTGTCCTGAGAACAGTTTTAAAGGGATTATGTGGAATTTAATGGGAATTTACAAATAAAGGGGTCCCATTTCATGGACAGGCACGTTCAAGAGACTGATGTTTGCCAACAGACTTTTCCCTGGAAGATCGGTGTTGTCACACTTGAATCTTAAAGACCCGACAGATCTAATTCCAGGTCCTTTGAAATATTGCATTCAGCCCACGTAAAGGCACTCTACTGTACTCTCTATAAGAAAAACCTAATTTCCCACTGCCTTTGCACATCAACCCAGAATGACAACCTTTTTTGTAGGGCACCACACGGGTGCCCATTCAGGTATGTCTCCCCAGTGCTTGCTTAGTGTCAACTGTGACAAGTAAGTCAAATATAAAATCTTATAAAGTTCATATCACAGCCTCAGAACAGAAGCTTCTGGAGACTTTAGTGAAGCTCCACAAAGGTGGCTTAACATGGCTTATAACATTTGTCTTGTAACAGGCACTTCCATCTCCCAGCTCATATGGTTAGGAGAGAAAGTTAATGAATACAGTTTTAACTTTGGAAACTCAAGAAGCAGAATATAAAAGTGGGAAAAGGAATTCCAGTCTTTCACAAGGCAGGGCAAGACAAATTGCAGTAGGAAACCTCCCACGTGGGAACTGCAAAACAACATGGATGAATAAATAGGTTGACGTGTGCATACATCAGGATACCAAGCAAGTTATTTGCATCTGATGAGTCCAGGAAGTATCTGTAAGAAAGGATGGACAGGCAGATCTCTCAGGCTGCTTCCAACTCAGCTAGTCAATCTACACCATATGCAGATTACCTAAATTGCTCCCGGTAAGTCTGCATCACCTGGTTGGCACAGTCTCCATTAGAGACTCTGGCATTACCTCTGAGCAGGCTTGTAAGCCAATACAGCACACAGTGAAATACTAGCTTAGGTCTTGGAAGCAATACAGATCTCTTACTTAGCCTATACTCATTTATTTGCTTGTCTCTACCTTCTTTAATACTCTACCTTCCTTAATATCTTTTCAAAATAACAACCTCCTCTTCCCAAAACAAAACAAAAAGTCCACATGAAACGTCTGCAGATAACAAATTAATGTACTGTACAGGTTCATGAAGAAATATAGCTCTATTAAGGGAATGGGCACATCCCTGAACTTTTTTTGCAAAATCAGAACTTTTATTAAGCTTTTGTAAATATACAGTCATTGCACATTCTTAAAGAGTTTGAAGCAAATGGTTTTATAAAACTACTCAGGATTTTGGATATATAAATATACTACTGGTTATTTATATTTGCTCTGGTCCATTTCTATATGAATAGTGGAAGGTATGGCAATGTATCTATTGTTAGACAAACTGTAAACAACCACATACTTTACTTAGATAGTCTATCTCTGCATTCAATTCATAAACATTTGCAATTATACTAAAGGCAAAAAAATATAATGGATGGAAACCATGCTGCTGAAAACAGAAAGGGGTAGAAAAACTAAGCTTCCCAAAGCAATCTGATGCACTGCACTGAACATCTGTGCTGGTTGTGAGACGAGTAACGTGGCAGACACTAAAAATTATTATCAAATCGCACCCACATTTGCACCATGAAACCTGACAGGGAAATCAGAGTTTTGACTGAGTATTCCTAGGAGGCTAAAACAGAAGAACCTCTCACAAATCACAGGGGCAGAAAGAAATGTTCCACTTGAGATGAGACGTGGGACCCTTCACATTTGCTAATCCCCCGTGATTTAAATTGTGCAGTCTGATTTATTCCACCAGAGGCTTACATGTAATGCCGTCGTTAATTAAAAAAAAATTAATACATTTAAAAATGCAAGCATTTAACAGACTCACAGAGGTCTGCCACACCTTCACTTCGCTGTTGAGGAATGGGATAAGTTCCCATATCACTGTTCCTGGGCACAGTACTGCATTTTCAGCTCCACTGAATGGGAAATCCCTGACAGCAAGATGATACCCTTTGTTTTGCTCTTGTTCACCAGTTTGCTCGAGGCAAAAGGTACTGTAACTTCCTACAGTAGCTTGGCATCATGCACACAGGTAATGCAACGCAACAGCAGTCAGTCATATCTCCCTCTACAGTGTGGGAATGCTCAGTCTTGATTTTCTGAAAAGTTGGGACAGGCAAAAGAGGTATACAAGACTGCACTGCAGAAACCAAAGAGGAAACCTAGAACTCGCAGAATTTCATAGAATAGAACTAAAAAATCCAGAAGCTTAAAAAAATTAAAAAAAAAAAAAAAAATCACGTTTTTCACAGTTATGATTTTGCACCATTGAAAATACTGTGCAGGGTGATGTTTTTTATATACATTTCTTTCCTGAGCAGATTAATTTGGTATGTGTTTTTGATCCTCTCATATTTTTTGTTACTTTCAGATACTCACAGTCCCCAGTGCAAACAGTTCCTTTTTTTCCAAAGCGGGCTTTGACCAGGAGTCAACTAACCTCTCTGAGACTTTCAGTTGGAAAGTGAAATAAGTATTACTGACCCAATTAGCTTGTACAATTGGTCTTGGGGTTTTTTGTTGTTGTTGGGGTAGGGATTTTTTTGTTGTTTTTGTTTGTTTGTTTTTCCTGTTCTGTTCCTAGTTAGATTGCTGACTAGTTAACTCTGTACAGTTTCTTTCTCCCACTATTTCTACAGAAAATTCTCACACTATCCTTCTGTGATCCCCTCTTGTCACTGGAATATTATCTGATTTCCAGGTGCCTCTCTCCTCTCTCTTCCTTCTTCTACTCTATGTTCAAAGTGGATCAGAATAAAAGCAGCCTGTTTGTTGACCTCAGTTACAATGCAAAAACTGTACGGGATAGACTGAAAGAGGTTGTGTCTCTCCTGACCCAGAGATACCAGCTTGGAGGGAAAAGCATGCAATAAAGTATCAGTAGCAGCCAGTTCAAGTTTCCCTTTTCCCAGTTTTAGAAAACACAGATGCCATCAACACCTCTGCTCAGATGTCCACCATGGAGTTCTGTTAAATCACAGAGCTGGATTCAAATTAATTTCTGCTTCACCCTAGGATTTCTTCTTTGCAGGCCAGCACATGTACCCAATAAGTAATGCATGCAAGAAGAGAGACCTTGGGCTCTACGGCGGCAGGTATCACGTTCAGAGGAGGGACAGAGATGCACATGCTTTGTAAAAAGCAATGTACAAATTGCTACCACTCAGCAGAGGCAGAATTTAGATTTAATTCTGTTAAAAGCAGGGAGAACAAGCCTTGTGTTTGCAGGGGCTGGAAGCAGGCCCACGTGCACTTACCTCAGACCACCGTTTGGCTCTTCATCGGAGGAGAAGGTGCCGTTGCAGACGTTGCCGAAGGAGTGGCTGGGCTTCAGTTTGGCTTCCTCACAGTCTGACACAGGCTCTCTTTTCTTCCTCTTGCCGAAGAGCTTCTTGAAAGGCTGGAATTTGCCTGCTTTTTTCTTGTCTGCGGATTACAAGCCAGACAGGCGCGGGGCTGAGGGACGCGGCTGGCCAGCACGCACCGCCACAGCAGGTTCAAAGGAAGAATGAGGTCAAAGAGCAAGTCACCAGCCCGAAGCAGCCTGGCGCTTGCAATATAAATGCAGGGCTGCAACTTGCTGTTGACACGTCATGTTGACACAGCAAAGGTAAGAGCATTAAAACATCTGTTCTTGGCTTTAAGGATCTGCTTTGAGGTGTCAGTGCAACCGAATATATGGATGAAGACAAACAATAATTTTGCTGAGCCAGAATATAGCACTGAGGCTTGTTTTTAGGCTTTACACCTTTGACCTTTTCACCAAAAGACAGGCACTGCTTTGGTCACCTTACTTTGGCAGGTGCTGGATCCCCTGCCTTGAATTAAAAGCAATTGACAATAACCAGCTGTATTTTACTTACATAGCCCCATAACCAGACAAGTCAATTTACAAATGAACAAAGAGCATAGGATAAAGTCCTGTTTGTTTGCTGGTGGGTTACTTCAATAAACATCCAGCTTTATATTAGCAAAGTCAAGACATTTTTCTGACTTTTTTCTCCCACTTAACTGAGGACAGAATTTGACCAAACATTTCTTCCTTGAGACACTTCAATTTTAAAAGCTCCACCAAAAAAAGCACAGCAAAAAGACAAAACAGACATGAAGACAGGAACAAGAAATAAAAAAGTTAACCAGAAAAAAAAAGTAACTTTTTTTTCCATCAAAGACTGAAGAAAATAAAGGCAGCTTCAAACTACTTTGCCCACATCTATTAAAAAGAAGTACCAAGAGTTTCTTGTTAAACATTGCCAAGAAAGAGTTAATTTCTTGGGGCTAGGATGCACGAAAGAATTTCCAAAATATCGTAACTGTCAAAGAGCGTCATTTCTTTTCTGCCTCTACTTAATTTTGCACTGAATTTACTTAAAACAAGCTAGGTTTTTTTTTAAAAAAAAAAAACCAACTTTTAGCTTCCTATCATAATCCAGTTTGAGAAGCATCATGTACTGGTGACAAATATTTTCATAAGCTATTTAAATCCCTACATGTGTTCTTCTCCCTGACTGCATGCATACACACTGCCTCAGCACGCTCTAGTCTTCCTATGAGCTGTTGCTTGGCAGAAAGCTGCGGTTTGGTTGCAAAGTACAGAGAGGCCCCTGGAGGAACGTTTGACCAGGAAACATGGAAAATCTTCTGTGATGCAACAGTACTCTTCAATACCACGTCAGGTTTTACACTCCACTCTGCTATACCCATGTATGGCAAAGCCACATCTGGATAACATCCCTTTGTAGTCGCTGGAGGCATAACTACAGGGTATTTAGAGAGAGAAAATGCACACCAGCACATTGCAATCTGACTACTTCCAGTTACAAGTGGTCTCCAAACTAGCATGTGCCAGCAAGCCCGAGCTAAACCCATGGGTGGGATCAAACTTAGGCAAAGAGCAAGAAAGCTACTATTTGTGAATCTGTCTGTATCTGACAATGGAGTAGGAAATTTAGACTGAAATTATAAAGTCAAAGGTGCAACAGATGACAATAATTCTGCATTTCCTTTACAGAACCCTAAGAAGTTTACACAGGAATCATTCTTCTCATTGGGCAGTCAAGATACACAGCATTTGTGCAACTTCATTATGACAACATGGCATCCCAGCAGCAGCGTAAAAACAAAAAGCTGAATTATGAACCTCAAATTCAGGCCCAGCATTAGAAATTTTTGATTCAGAATCACTGACCCACAATGAGTGATGAGAAATACAACCACCACTGAAGCAGCAGTTTTACCAGTGTAGAAGAAAAAGGGGTACAGAAGTTTACTCTCCCCATCCCCTAGCCCGGCTTTCCATAAGCTAACCAACTCACATCTCCAGCCAGACCAACTGCTTGCTGCTCAATTCCGACTTCAGAGAAACATATTCTTATACTAAACCCCCGACAGACAGGCAGGCAGTCATGCAGAGAAAGAGAGAAATTACTGCTCTAGGCCGCAGCTGCCCTCACCCTTCATGCACTTCAGAAACAGCCTGCAAATCTCATAAATCAAATGGTAGAGCATACAGGAGAGAAAGCACCAGAACCAGACACAGGACTGGGTGAAAGAGCTAGTTTTCCACAGTTTCGACCTCGCCTGCTTCCTCAAGCTTCTTTGAAAGGGAAGGCTGTGTGATGCCATTTCTGGTGGTTAATATGATTTACTGCATAAATCAGCTACAGTGTTCTTAAAAAAGGTTCTCACTGTGTCATTCATCCACATTACCCTTGTTCCCTCCTTTTTTGGAGGTCTTCAGATATAACTGTGAATTATCTCATCAACTCTAAATCTACTGTACTGATTCACCAACTGTGAATCTAGGTGTTGAAGAAATAAGACAGGTCAACACCACTTTCATTTCATCAAAATGGGTGAAAGCCAACATGGACACCTCCAGCCAAGATCTGCTTTTCTCCATGTGATTTAACATATCCCTTAGCTGTTTCCCTGCTCCATAGCCCATCATCACAGTTGTCACATCACTAAGCATGAATTCTTTAAATTAGGCTTTATGACTCATTGCAAAACCAATGAACACCCTTCCCTGCACAGGCTGCACACACTACTCCCCATCCTGCCAGCGCAGAGATAAGGAGCAGCCAGCCCTTCCAGGTTTCTAAGGAGGCAATGCCTGACCGCTAAGGCAAAGTCTATTTATGTAAATTTTTCACAAGATGCTATGGAGGAAGATGTGGGAAGATATCACCTAGAGGGTAAAACACTTCCTATAACGGTAAAACAAGTACAAAAAGGAATCCAAACACTGGCAATGCAACAGACAACGCCCTGCACAAAAGCTTTTTGAATCTCTAATGCTAAGGCTGAGGGCTGGGACATCCAATGCTGTTGGCTTGTGTCAAGGACAATTGCTGAGACAGCCAGGAAACAAGTCTGCTTACCCAGGCCACTATTCATCTCTCCTTAATCACTCACAAGGGAATCCTACAGATCCAGCCCCAGGAGAACATGGGAAATCAGCAATTAAACCTTTTTTCCTGTCTGTCTGACAAGCCTCTCTTGTTCAAATCACTGTAAACAGTTAACAGTAAATCAGTTTTGAATCACAGAAAAACATGAGGTGTGAAGGCGACAGATAAACAAGGTTGGATACGCTAGCTAGAATAACACAGCACATATGGTAAACGCTCCCTTCTCATCTTATTCCAGAAGAGTAGCAGAGCAGATTAGAATAATCTTTAACCTGTCATGTAATTTCTCAGCCGCATAAAGACACGCAGTGCCTAACACAGAGCCAGTTAAAGCGGAGAGCATCAGCATTATGAAGGCAGCACATGGTGCCTCCACTCCCAACGACAGAGGGGAGACCAGTAGGAGCAGCTACTCCTCTCGCACTCTGTCTTTCACTCTAGGGTGCTCTCCAAGAAAGATGAAGGCTGGTGCAATGGGCTTTATTGCTGGTAAATCAGGCAGAGCCTTTGGACTCCAGCTGGCGAAGTCTTAGCAACACACCAGCTGACAAATTCCCACAGGATAGCTTGTAGTTAAACTGCTCAAATGTCACCAAAATCCATTGGGATTCCTAGGCTATGGTGTCTTTCAAAAACTGCACAGAGCCCTCCACACAAGCACAGGTCAAATAAAGATTTAACTACCACTCTTACAGATGGAAGATGATTGGAAAGAGAGTGATCAATGTATCCTGAACAACAGGCACAATGCCAGCGTGGGGCTACGCCACTGGATGGAACAGAGGAGATCTCAATGGCACTGGAAACAACTGAAAAACAATTTTCCAGAAAAGCAAGCTTCACATGACAAACAAAAAGTCTCACATAATCACAGAAGAGACACCTAAATATGTAACAAGGTACTGGTTCTTTGCAGCTTTTCCTCCTTGCTGTGGTGCTGGGGGCACTCACAGTAGCATGGGTGAGAAAACCTGCAGGGGGAGACCTCTCTGAGCAGAGCTGACCAAGCAAATGTATCAGCTGGTGGGTAGAAAGATGATCATTGAGGGGAAAAATAAATAAAAGCAGGATTTATAGTGATGTTTTAAAGTTGAAAGTATTGTGGCCAAGATTTTTCAAACCTCAGTTTTGCAATGGGATTTGTGGAGATTTCACAGTCATTTTGTTCATTACGTGAAATGCAGCACCTGTCTGCAATACCTATCTGTAGTATGAGATATTGCACAAGAGCTGTCTCCAGCTGTGTTCCTTGTTAGTGAATTTAATGGCTATAAAATATGGTCTAATAGGCCAGATGAATGAGGATATGAATTATTAAATTGAATAGGAATTTCTATAAAGAATTTAGAGAATGGAAATCCACACATAAGCAGCATTAAGAACTTCATGGCAGGGAGAGGGCAGGTGTGTTACTGGGCTGCGGGCACAATAGAGCAGCCAAGGCAAAAAAAGGGAACTAAAAAATACTGTCAAGAGGGTAAGTTGACTGACATCTCTAATCACTTCTCTACAGCAGAAAAAGGCTGTTATGATATACATTGCCAGTACCGGTAATAAAAAAACCCACCTTGATTTTAAGCTAACACTATTATTCATGCTTTTTAAAAAATAACTCAGATTAGCTACTACCGTAAGCATTGCCCTGTTGAGCCCTGGGTTGGCCATGCATCTGCACAGACTTCTTTGCTTTTCAGGTCCCGACCGAAAAAGCCGCCCTGCCTCCCCCCTGCCCAGTCTGTTCTCACAGGGCACAGAGCTTCCCCGTGCAAACCGGGATCGGTACTTGCCTCCAGCTTTCCCACCCACTCCAGATCTCAGTACATCCACTTCTGTGAGCCCCCAGAGCTGCTCGTTATTGCTGACACATCTGCGTTCAGAGCCGTGAGCAGCGCTCTCCAGAGAGGTGCCTCCACTCCCCCAGGCAAGGGAAACACATTGTTGGGAGCAAGGAGGAGGAGGGCAGACTCGGCTCTGCTTAACCATGTTCCCACGTTTTAAAATAGGCGTGAGCTCCTGCAACTACTGTAGCTCATCAGATTTCACAGGGAAA